TCAAATCCATAAAAGTAACAGGGGCATTAGTTAACTCGAATGACACCACAAAAACTCATAATGCCTACACCGAGTACGAAAAGTAGTCTTTGGGACATCATAATCTTTCAACTTGAGTTGGTAATAACCAGACCTCAAGTCTATATTCGAAAAGATATAAGCCCCTCGAAATTGGTCAAACAGATCATCGATCCTGGGTAAAGGATATTTGTTTTTAACTGTGAGCTTGTGCAGTTTCCTATATTCAATACAGAGTCTCAATGTCTCATCTTTCTTCTTGACAAAGAGAACTAAGGCTCCCCACGATGATACACTGGGTCGAATAAATCATCTATCCAACAACTCCTGGAGTTGGACTTTTAGTTCCTTAAGCTCATTTGGGGCCATACGGTAAGGGGCCATCGAAACTAGGGTAGAACCGAAATAGACTTCAATCTCAAACTCAACTTTTTTATCTGGCGGTAATCTAGAAAACTCTTCAGAAAAAACATTGGGAAATTCCTTAACAATCTAGATGCCTTCAATGTCAAATTGGGAACTCCTAGTGTCCAAAATATAAGCAAGAAATACCTCGAAACACTTCCTAATCATGCTATCAACTACCAATGCCGATACAACATTCGTCAAGAATCCACGACATTCCCTGATCATCACAATCTTTCAGTTATCTAGGGTCTTCAGAATAACTCTCTTGGTCTTACAATCGAGATTAACTTGATGCTTGTTCAACCAATCGATGCAAAGAATCATATCAAACTCCTTCAAAGGTAACTCCATCAGGTCAGCCAGAAATATCTCCCCATGGATCTTTATAGAACATGCTCTAAAAATACGATCTAACTCTATGGACTGACCTACGACACTTTGAATTGTCATCGAATTCTCAGAATTTTCAACCGAGATATTAAGACTCTAAAAAATGAAACTACCCCAGCAGCTACCAAAGACTTAGAAATATCAATAACATACATATTACCAGGGACTCTAGTAGTTCTCCTGAACATACAAAAAATAGCCCTATTAATGGCATCCTCATCCATATCAGTGTCCTCGTCCTCAGTGATGGGAGGGTCTCTCGTAGAAGTAACCGGGTTATCTCTAGAAATAGAAAGATCTATATGCGGGACAGAAGGATCTTGAGGTAACATGGGATCGTCTATTATAACAGAAGGTCGAGTCACTCGCCCTCAACCATGGCCACGACCTGGCCTACGACCTCTAGCAGCACTCATTGGATAAATCTATAAGGATCTACAGAAAGGTTTTGAACCTAAATCAGAATCGCTTCAGAGATTTCGAATATATTTAAAACTCATAAAATAAGGTGACACTGTTTTTTTTTTTTAATATTTTGAAATCTAGATTTTTAGACTCATCCATAGTCCGAGAGTTTAAAATCGAAAGCTCTGATACCACCAAGTGTAACCCCCAAGACCTGACCTAGATGTTAGGCTCAAACCTAGACGGTCACTTATCGCATTCAGAGATTCTTTTCATATTTAAAACGTCGCTAAAATCCATATAAAAATTCATATGATAACATATATGTATACATATGTCAGAAAACTGTATAAAATATATACATATCAAAATACCGCAGAAAACCGTAAAAAACATTTACATAACAAAATATTGGTAATAGAGATATATCAAACGGTAGCAAAACAAATGTCACTAAAATATAACTGAAAGGCATATAGAGAAATATAGTAGTACAAAAATAGGAGTAGTCAATCCTCTTGATGCCAAGTCTACTATTTTTTGAAAATGTTAAAATATATAGAATGAGCTAAAAAGCTCAGTGTGCTCCTTACGGTGTATAAAAACTTATAGATAAAATATTTCAGTAAATTCGATTTATCAAACATGTTTTAAAAACATGAACATTACCCCTTCCGATCACTAGAATGTGTAGATTCCCCAAAACCATACACCCACCTATACACCCAGTAAGGGCTTACCCTGTTCACAAAGCATAGAAGCTTGCAGTTAGGACTTACCCTGAGGACAAAGCCGAGGAGCCTGCGGAAAACGGTAAAGTCTTACCCTTGCACATAGTGGAGGAGCCTTCAGAAATGGTAAGGTCTTACCTTTTCACATAGTAGAGGAGCCTTAAAAATGGTAATGTCTTACCCTTGCAATAGCAAAGGATCCTTCAGAAACTTCCTCCAATAATACTCCTAATGACAGTAATATACATATATGTATTCGAGTGAAAACGGTAATTAATCCATTAAAACATGAAAATGTTTCATGCTTGGAAATCATATACATAAATACGGTAATCAGAAATCAAATCAATAATATACGGTAAATCAGATGTCGGATAAAAAATATTCAGAAATTAGGTATCATGTCGAAAAATTATTCAGAATTATCACAAATCTGAAACAATTCAAATGGGTAGTTTAAAACAGTAATGTAACACCATCAGGAAACACACCTATATCGATCTGAATAGTCTGATAGGGAAACCTACCACTGAGTATGTCGATCACGACTAGCGACAGCGCTAGATCCTACGAATTGGAAAATCCATATCGAAATCCTAATATGAATAATATTAATCTTTACTTAAATAATTTATGGAAACCTACTAGTAACTCTCGTAGAACACAGATCGAGCAAATCTGAAGGACAGGAAACACCGGACCTAACTGACCATCGGTCATGTGAAATACGAGTACCTTCAAAAAAATATCTTATTGGATCAATTCTATAATCAAATCTCAAATAAATAAGCAAAAATGCTATAAATACTAAGCATTTTTGGGTTAACGAGCTCGATTCGGGGCTTTCAGGTCAGAATTTGACAAAACAGACTTCAGAATAGGACTCAGGACGTCGATAAACATAAAATATGACTTTTCAAAAATTTTGACTTTTTGGTCAAAGTCAACGATCAACGGTCAACGTTAGACTGGGTCGGGTCGGATTAGCGAGTCGGGTCAGCGGGTCAGGTCAGACACGGTTCGGGTCGGATCAGCCCATTCCAAGCAGTCCACCAGGCGGTGGACTTTTCCCACTCTCAGGGGTAGCGCGTGGGAGCGCGTGCAGGGCCGTAGAGGGGAAAATTCTGAAAAAAAAAAAAATATACAACTATTTTAAGAGGTTTTGAGACACTTACCAAACTCGGTTCACAATGGTGAACGGCGGAGAACTCGATTTCGAAATGTCGGAAACTTGATATTCCTCACCCCCTCACACGCTGAAGATAACAAAGATAAGGACACCGGTGGATTCAAGACGACGCAAAGAACACGATGGTACGGGAAGTGTCGAAAATGGAGTAACGGTCACCGACGAATCGGTGATCAAAGATTTCTTTCTATAAAAGAAAAATATTGAAGAGATAAAAAATTTAATTAATTCCCTTATATTTGGGTTATATAAACCCTAAAAGAGGAAAATGACAAAATCATGTCATATGTCCTCCATCTTTAATTATTTTATGAATTTGGATCCAAATTTAATCAAAATTTCACTTCGATCCCTGAATTCAATTAAAATTCAATTTAGTCCTCGAAACAATTTCAGAGAATTTTAGGCCTTATTTTTGGGTGTGACATTAGCGATGATATCGATTTTGATGATGATCATCGATCGTCAGTTCTCTCTCTTTTATTTTTTTTAATCTTTAATAAGAATAACTCTACCTTTATGGTACGTTTTTATTTGCCTTTGTCGTGCATTTCTTTTTTCTTTTTTCTCAATCGTTTGGTTGTTATTTTTTTATTTTTATGTTTTATCACGGTTGGATTCGGCGACGTCACGATTGATCAAAATGACACTTATTTGTAATCCTGCTAGTTTTCCATACTCTGGACCTTCGGGTTAAATTTGGATACTCGATTTTTGCGCTTGTGGATAGTGTCTCATGACACTCTACTCTGATTTACGATTCTTAGTGATTTTTTAATAGCTTAATCCCTCTTTTGTGGTTCTTTTTTTTGATGCAATCATATTTGTTTCGTATCTATTTTTATTCGAGTCTTTTGGTTGTGTTTTTACCTTTCATGTATGATCATTGTATGATCTAAAGTGACTAGTTTCTTGTGTTAATATTGTAGAACAATGTTCAAATTATGTGTTTAATTTACGGTAATAGTTGTAAACCCTTATTATAATATTGAATATTTTCATTTTTTTAATAATATTAGCGACTTCTATTAAGAAATTATAAATAAAGAAATTGGAAACTGAAATTATAATTTAATGAAGCAAATAAAAAATTAGTATTAGAACACAAATGTAAGATTATAAGAGCACAAATTATAGAATACCAGTAATTAAATTTTTAATTATGATAAAAACTTTAATTTATATTGACATTAATAAATATATTTGAGTAATATAAATTTTAATCAAAATTGCATACTATAAATCTATAATTCAAGTAAATAATAAATGCCATTAAAATAATACTAAAATTAAAAATAGTTTATATTGAAATTACATTAAGAATTGCAAAAACTATTGTAATTTTATAACATAATAAGTAGATAATTCACTTGTCGTGGCTTTGATGTGCCACACAGCTTTTAAGCATATGGCTATGGGTTCCAGCTTTGAAGTTCGGACCAAAGGGTTTGTCATTTTGCCATCAAAGTCATATGAGATAAGGTTTAAAAGAAAAAGCCCCCATGGCTTTTGTATAAGATGTCTAGCAAATAAATAAAGCAGTTTATAATACATAGTCTCTTTTGCTGCCTCCAATCATTGATATCAGTGTCCTCGCAATTGTGCCAATTAATTGACCTCACGTAATGGCACAATTAATTAGGTTCAACAGAAGATTGATTTGGAATCTGAATGACGAAGGATGAAGATGATCCAGGACCTTAATCATCATTATCATCTATACTGATAACAAAGAAGGAAAACAGGTCAAGTTTTCTCCTCGCCTACATTCTAAATTACATCATATTGAAACAAAAAGCAAATAATAAATTAAAACAAATGTTCCCTATCTAAGCAACAGTCATAAATTTTTTAATGTATTAAGAAGTTCCCTTTATTTAACCACCATTCGGTGGGAACATCTTTCCCATACAAAAAGCATAATATATATATATATATGGTACTAAGCCGGCCGCTGGGATTATCTAACCATATATATTTTATACACATTCCGTTCATACAGCTCTGATGAAGTTCAAACGATGCAACACTTCAGCACCAAGCCCTTTTGATCAAGCCTTGCTTCTTCATTGCCTGATACAAGATTGTTTAAAATTTTACATAAACAATAGAGAACTTATACTCACCGAAGATCCATACATTAAAATTCAACTATTCTAGATAAGTAAAAGTTCATTTCAGAAATCGGAGGCTTACGAAACTAACGCAAGCACAAAAAGATTATGATTCAACCAGAAAATCACAAGTGAGATCTACACACCTTCAGGTGGCTGAGCAAGCTTCTTGTTCTGTGGAGATATCATTTCTTTCTTCAGCTTTGTCAATATATCCTCCATTGTATACTCCCTTTGCCAATTAGCAAGCATGGGGAAAAGGCTAGGTACAACCTGGCAATTTATCAGCCATAAATTTCATACCATGCAGTAAAAAATCCCTAAGAACAATATAACCTACCGCTCCAGTCTCCTGATTGACGCAGGTCATGTTTATCCGGGTTTGAAACCTCACACTTGGTGGATTATCTGGATAATCCAGGCCACAGAATAGCTTCAACTGGTAGATGCGTCCCTCGTGAACAGTCTAACATGCATAAAGAATAAGCAAGTTACCAACTCATTTTTCATCTTAAGAAAGGAATAATCTTGACAGGAAATATTTTTTTTTTTGATAGGAATGAAGGCCTCATTAAAAAACCCCTTCATGATTAATGGAACACTAAGTGCTTCTTAATCAGCAGAAGGAGGAAAAGAGTTCCTTAGGATTCATTAAAAACCACAATATACATAAAGTTTAACAACCACACAAACACTCCCTTTACATAAACCAACCCAAAGACTACAAAAGCTAATCACAATAGTAAAACTAGCCAATACCAGCTTTGGCTAAACTATCAGCCTCAACATTGGCTGACCTAGCAACCCATCTAATAATACCACTCAATTCCCTTAGCTTAGTAACAATATCTTTCACTAAATTGGAGTATACACCGGGGCAACGATCAAAATTCTTGACCCACTCCACAGCAAGTTTACTATCTGATTCAATAATTAAACGTTCCTTAATCTGCTGATGAAACGGCTCAAAGAAAGTTAATCCCCTCTTTACTGTCAACAGCTCAATCAACACCGGAGGACCTGGACCAGAAGGCTCTTGAAAAGAGCCCATTACCGAACCATCCTCAACTCTAACTCGTTAAAGAAAGGAAAATAACAGTAACTATTGTATAAAATAATTTATACAATTCCTCCGCCAGAAATCTTATGATCAGAAAGATTTCTATGTTTTACTTCTAGGTGACAGTTACAAGGAGGCTCCAATAGGTTTGCAGGTAATACTAGTTAATTTTTTTCTTCAGAACAGTGCTTGGAATAAAGCAGGTAAATTGTGTGATAAAATAGGGACCACTTATCATCAACCTTACATGGTAGAAACTCAATAAGCAACTTTTACAGAGAAGTATTTCAGCTGTGAAAAATACTTCTTTTCTTCTCATATGTTTTAATGAGTTCTAATTGCCACTTTAAAATGAGAGTTATGTTACTTCTTATTTCTAATTTGTACAGGTAGACCATCTCAATGATTAGACTGATTTGTGAAGATGAGCATGGTTAGAAATACATATCAACTTCAAATTGTGTTTACTGCCTTACGCGTGTCATTGCATTATTCAAATCAACTCAGAGAAACAAGTAAACCAACTACAAGAAATATAACAGCAGAAGAAAAAAGACAGTGAGACTCACATTAGGCGGACCAATAATAGTCCCAGTCCATGACTGCATGTAAATATCATCAGCATCATCCATTCCATAGCTAACTGTTCCATCCCCATTTCCCTTTTCACCTCTATCAAGCTCTTCTAGCAATCTGAAATTCCGAGGGACTGCAAAGAAAATACATTTGAGTGCCTAGCTCAGGATTGTAGCAAAGTCACTCTTGAAATTTGCATTAAGTCCATCATTACCAAATGCATTTTCCAAATATGCAATAAAAAAAGATAAAATTTAAGAACAAAAAGGATTGCTTGCATGTTATGCCAAATACTGAAAAGCAGTCCACGAAGAACCCAGAAAAAACTGAAGTAACCCCAATAGCATAGAATAGGATCTGGCACAAGTTCCAGTCATAAAGTTCATCACCAAGAAAGGCTCACTTCTGAATGAAAGGAGCAATGGCCCTTAATTGCCAAAGCTTTTCCATGTGATGGTGGGAGAAACAAAGTCCCTTGATTTTAGAGACATAGAAAGAAATTTCTAAGGCCAAGAAAAGTGGTGGAAGAAGCCTAATACCTAGTTGAGGGCTAGCACAATATTAAAAGTTTCATACGCATCCCATATGAAGAGTATTGCAAATTGATCTATAAAAGATCCTTCAGGAGTGAATTAATATTTTGAAGTACGAAATGAGTAAAAGGAACAGTCAATGCATCCCAAGTCACAATTTTCCATTTTAGAAAAATTTCATGCATTATATATAGCAGCCTCATACATTACAAACCCTAGGCAAGGAAAAGGAAGTGATTATACATGTTTAAAGGTTATTGCTTGTTTTCTTTATAATTACACTCAATCAGCACCAAAATCTCTTGTTTGAAACAATGTATACTCAACAAATGTAGCTAGATCAAACTTAACTAATAAGACTACTTCAGAATAGAAAACAAATAGGAAAACATGATTTAAAAAAGAAGAAATCGCATCTTATATCCACATTCAAGGTTTTACAGATTAAAATTAAAGACTAAATCAAAAGGACAAAAACTTCAAGCAATTGAGACTATGGTTTCCCACATTCCAATTCTCTTCAATTTATTCCTATATCTAATTCTTTCCACAGACATCAAGACTATAAACTAAGTCATGCACATTTCTAATTAAACCCATCTAATTTGGGCATTTAAAACAATACAAAAACTTCTAAAACTTTTAATAGAAAAGCTTGCAAAAGTTTCACCTTCAATATCAATCAAGCACAACAAATTCATTTTAAATCATCAAGAAACAGTACTTTGAACTATACAAAAGAAAACTAGTTATCAAAGCTAAAACCCTCTTTTTCCACCATATCCGAAGATTATCCCAAAAGATAGCTCGTAGAGATTCAATATACCCTTCAAAGCTCCATCAATCAAACAATGACAACAAAATTTCATCGATGACATAAAAGATGGGGGAACTTGATAACAGAAGAGGAATATCTAGGGCTTTGAAAACCGAAAGCTTACCTACAACTCTTGATCCTTCGGAACCCATTTCTCCGTTTGATCGTTTCAATCCAAAGAAAAGAAATGAAAAGCTAGGGTTTCTCCTGATTCAAAAGAGACAACCCAAAAGCCAAAAATTTAAAATGGGCAAAAAGAAAAAAAAATGAGAATGAGAATAGGTTATATAGAAAGAGGTTTTAGGGGTGTTTTTGTTTAAAGATTGTGGTATTTTAATGGGATGAGAATCTCATATTTTCATGTTTGGTTGGTCGGGAATCTCATTCCGGTAATGTTTTATTATCAATAGTAGAGTTTTTGGGGTATATAACTGGGAATGTCATTACCTCCCTTCCCTTAGGTATTGTAATATTACCGGCGTTTTGGACTAAAATGACTTTAAATTTTTATTTTTTTTTCAAAAATATCATTCTTCTGTCATTGAATAATAAAAATTCTACGAATGTTAAATTATAAATTTATCCTTAAATTATTTTATATTTACAAAAAAAGTCTATAATTAAAATTTTATATGAAGTTCAGGGGTTAAAAAATTTTTTACCCTTTCATTAAACCTTTTTTATATTTTTAATTTTGTAAAAAAAAAATTATATAAATATTATGAATTTAATTTTTTAAAGAGAATATATAAATATTTTACAATTTGTAATATTATACAAATATATAATAAAGACAATTTGGTCAAATATACATTCCAATAATCTTTTATTCCTTTAACCAAACACGGTAATCTTACATTCATGTTAAACCAACCAAACACAAAATACAACATTCTCAGTAATCTTATTCCCTGATAATCTTTTATTTCCACTGATAATCTTACATTCCGTGAACCAAACGCACCCTTATAGTACAAAAATTTTAACCACTTCGTTTAAGTTTTGTTCTCTATGCTTTTCCAAAAATGATTCTAGAGTGAAATATATTTTTAAGACTAAAAGATAGTTATTGAGCATTTGGTCGGGTTGAGTTGAGATGAGTTAAAAAAAATTGATCGAGTTAAATTGAATTGAGTTGAGTTAAAAAAAATTTGTGTTATTTGAGTTGACGAGTCGAGTTATTCGAGTTTCTATACTAATTTTATTATAATTATTTGTTTCATTTTTTCAACTTTCTCTAACATATAAGGTATATATATTTCATATTCTTTTCATATTATAAAGTTATTTAATATATCAAATACAATCTAAAATTAAAAAAATATATTCATAATATTATATTTTAAAGAAAATATTTTAAGAGTAAAATACTGACGAGAGTATAAAAGAGTCAATGAATTTGTGAGAAGAAAGAATTCACAAACAATTACAGTCAAAAGACCAAAATGAGTAAAATGCAAAGTTAAGGGAATATATAAAAAAGAGAGAGTACATTTTTAGTAAAAAAATAAGAATTGAAGTTACATATATATTTTATAGTTGTATATAAGCACATGGTTTGAAATTGGTAAAAATAAATTTAAGATAAATGATGAATTGAAAAATAAAGAAATTTTGAAAAAATAAGGGACTAAATTGAAAAAACATATTATAAAAAAAGGAGGAATTGAAAGAATAATGAAATCATGGACTAAATAGTAGAACTGTCAAAATAATTAGTCAAATCTTTATTTTTCAAGTAACTCGAAATTTTAAAATTTCGACTCGAACTCGAAAAACCAAATTGATAATTATTGTTGACTCAAATAACTCAAAATTGAAAAAATATATTTTTTTCGAATCGAGTTGAGTTTTACTAACCCCTAAAATAATGTATAATATATAGTTTGTTAGCCCAATAGTATTTTGAAAAATTAAATACAAAAGGAATGTCGATCTCTATAGATGTCCTAGATTTAAGTAACAGTGTTTATAGCATGTGTGCATTGTTAATATATTAAGAAAATTTTGAATCGATATTACTTTGTAATCATCACATACTATTTAAAAATAAAAAAACAAATAAATATAAAAGGGTTTGAATTATTATTCTTTTATAGTAAACTATTCAAATAGTCACTTAACTATAGGATTGATGTTGATATGACCATCATATTTTTAATCTTGTCAATATGACCATATAACTATTTAAGTGGTCTCAATCAAGTCATATGCTGTTAAAATTTAACGGGAATGCTCACATGATAATTAAACAAATTGATGTAAGCATACATTTGATCCTAAATACTTATATATTATATCAATTTAGTCATAATTTAAATTTAATTTAATAAATTAATCATTTAATCAATAGGTGATACATATTAATACATGAACGTTACATATGTCGTTAATGACCCATTATATTTTGCGTATGGAAAGATAGATTACGTTTTAGGGGAAGAGAACTTGGGTTCTATTGGGTGACAAATAATGTACCAAAAAAGTCCTTAGCCATTGAGTCAACTGCTTTATAGAAATTTTAATCTTCCCTTTGCTCTGCTGTAGTTACCGACGGTTTCTTCTATGTTTTCACTTTCTTTTTGCGTTGTGGGCAGAGGTGGTGGCTTTGGCCGGCCACTCCTCTGCCATTTATTTTGTTTTCTAGATTATGGTTTTTAGATTTTAGTTCTATTTTATCGTTTTCCTAATAATATTTCTCTCATCCGTTATCTTATAAAGAATGTCATGTCTATCGATATTTGTGAATTTCAAATGCAAATTTATTTTCTTTATTTTCTTCTCGGTTTATAATTCAACAGGCTTCCATGAATGAGATTGTGTTTAAGAAGATATCTCTTTTTCCTTTTGACGTTTTGGATCTTCAAGTTTTTTCCTTCATGGTTGGTGCTCGGAACCGTTGGTGCGATCAGTTCATGTACGTCATTGCTTCAATTGTTCATGATTGTACTTATTATACTATTACTAGGCGATCATTGCAAGATTTTATGATAGTCTTGACTATGTTTGTTCAGTCTGTATTTAGCAAGAAGTTTATTGATGCAGTTTTTGATAAATGAATATATTTTTTTGTTACTTTAAAAAAAAGTAAGTAATTATACTTATATTTATTCATCATAATACTATTACTGATAGAAAAATAAAAAATAAATATTCAAATGATATTTTACTTTCAATATTTTTATATTTTTAAACAACATTTATGAAAAATAATATAATATAAAATTAAATTTTTTTTACATATTTTAAACAAAAGGGTTTATATTTTAAAACAATTATATATATATATAATTTATTAAACATGAAAATATTAAATTCAATTTAAAAATATTAAACTCATTTTTAATTTTAAATCTTACATTAAATGCAATTGTTTAAAACATAAAATAAAAATTATTTTATTTAAATATGTACAAATAATTTTATTTTTATATTACCTGGCTTTTTTTTATTAATTTGGGATGATTACAAGTGGTAGTATATATTATAAATACTCCAAATTATTTGATAATGAATGCTCAAATATCCTACGGTTGATGGTGCTCGAATTTAAGATCTAGGGATAACAATTACCCCTTTAACCATTGTGATCATTTGATTCATACATGAGAAATAAAATTATAAATACTTAAAAATTAATTAAATAATAACTATGAAAATAAATATAATGGTGTCCCAGAATTAGGTCAACTTGTATACCTGTGGAATAAGCAATGGAATAAACAACTCCTTGAACAAGTTTAGATTTATTTGATACCGACGTGCGTGTGTGTATATATATATATATATATAGATGGATAAAGAGGGAGGGAGGGAGGGAGAGAGAGAGTACGCATTTAATATTTAAATTATCAGTTTTGATCTATTTTAGTACTTAAACTTTAAATTATTTCAAAATCATATTTAATATTTAAATTATCAATTTTGATCTATTTTAGTACTTAAACTTTAAATTATTTCAAAATCATATTTAACATTTAGTTTTTGTTTCATTGCCTAGTCGTTAAAAACTCCATGCTTTTAGTATCTAGACTAATAGTTTTGGTTTGCTTCAGTACCTAAACTTTAATTTTTTTTCTTCAAAACTTAACGTGGGGTACTAAAATGAAATGAAAACTAAACTTAGGTATGATTTTAAAAAATTAAAAGTTTAGGTACTGAAACGGACCAAAACTAATATTTTAGGTACTAAACACATAATTTACGATATATACATATATATATATATATATATATATATATAATAGATGCAAGTTTTATAAAAGAACGTACCTATAGTTAGCATATATAAATACACAAGGAACTCTTTATGGTACACATGAAACCTATATTAGAACATAGGAGACCGTAAAGGGACGCCCTTCCTAGTTTGCCTTAACCTTGTTTTCTTTGTTAAAGGCACTCGAACATGTATTTCTTCATCTTCATTACTGGTTTCTTCTCTTTGTTCATCTCTATGTATGCCTAAAACCTGTAATATATAAGAATAATAAATCCCATAACTCCCTGCAAATTAAAAAAGAATGAAAATCGAAAGAATTGGAAAACAAAGAACCTTGCATGCGATACTACAATAAGTTGAAGTATTATTTTGCAAACTTCTGTCACAAGTGGAACATCTATAATCACTTGAGTTGCTTTGTTGGCGTTGTTGATGAGATTGAGTCCTTTGCTTCAAGAGTACCACTTTGGCTTTATTTGTATGATAAGTCTGCAGCCAATATCAATTGTTTTCATATATTGCCAGTTTAATCTGAAGTCTAAACCACATATATTACGCTTTTAATAACCAAAACATAATTTAATATAACTATGCTTTTATTACTAAAATGAATGTGGTAGAAAATATTGATACAACAAAACTGAAATATAAAGATTACTATACTTTTATATATATATATATATATAGAAATTGGTATTTCTTTTATGTTTTTTTGGTCTTACCAAAAAGCCTTAAAAGTTGATCATGAACAAAAAGTTAGACATTTTTTTATAAATAAACTTGGCAACAGCTGCAATAAGAATTGCATTTATTCCACTATGAGAATACCGTTTATAAAGTATTTGGACGGTAGGTGCATCATTAATTACTATATTTCTTATGAAAATTATATATATATATGATTCTAGCATATGTCATTTATTAATATGATTTTGTCGACATAATCACATATATTTGATTTATTAATTGATTGATTCAGATTAATTACTATATATATTCATTATGAGATAATCTTTTAATCTAGTTTAATTTATTCAT